GTTGTAGACTCTGGTGCTAGTGGATCGCTGGAGCTGTAGATTAACATTTACATGCTTATTGTAGTTGTAAGGACAATGCCTGTAGCACCAGACCCGGCGGCAGACATACGTCTCTGGGCGGGCATTTGATTTATCAGGGCGGGCCCACCCCGAAACTTACATTTCCCAGGAAATCTGAATTGTCAACNCCAAGTCATAAATCTCAGTCGTTATCCCATCATATCAGTTGCTCACGAACAACTTTGAGTGTGCAAGGTCAATGAGCGTCTCCTAAAGTGTGTGTGTGTGTGTGTGTGTGTGTGTGTGTGTGTGTGTCCAGAGTTCGACAGTAGTCCTATTGTTTGGGCCCTCTACCTCATGTGCTATTCACACACACTTCTATTCATAGGTTGTCATGTTTAGTCATTTCTCTGTGTGTGAGTGTGACTGTGTGTTCTAAATATAAGTTGAACTCACAAGAATGTTCTGCATGGCCAATTGAATTCATAAGGTGTGTGTGTATCTATCTAAACTGCACATTGTACCTCCACACCTAAACACACACACATAATATATTGCGTACCATGCACATCCCCCACTAAAGTCCACTTGCTCTGGAGCATCATAAATATGACACTTTGAAACTACAACTGTAAAAATGATAGCAATTTAACGACTGTGATCCCTCTTGGCCGCACCTACACACTATTTTAATGCCAACTGAATCCTGAAACGTTAGCAAAGCATTAGAATTGGAGACTATCTTTTATTAGTTATAGTAAAAGCTTACTCATTTATAGAAAAACAAATCATTTAACATCATCAATAGTCAACAAGAAGCCACCTTATCTTGACTTTTGTTCTGCATCTTAACATAAATTCATTTATAAACAATTTATCAACATTAACAACTACGTTCTTGATGGATAACTCATCTTTAATTAATGATTTATCCACACTTATTAGGTGACACACCTAGAGGAGGAAATTCTACAACCTGGCAACCCAAAAGTCTTTCCTCTTGTTATTAAAGAATTTCTAAATTATTTATATACCATTATAAAAGTCATTAGCTACGGCTCCTAAACCCTTTGTTAATGTGGCTTTATAACAAAGTGCTACTGATATACTTAACTCTTTACAAACTCAGCAATACATTCTACATTTCCTTCAAAGATGCCTCAAATATCTAGTTTCATTATCAAATGAAGACATGGTGAAACATAGATATAAACATGAAACATCACTTCAGGTTCAAGTTACCTTTTTCATTCGGTTCTCGTTTTAATTGAGTTCAAAGCTTTTGTGGGGATAACGATATACTACAAATACAGAACACATTACACATCCTGCATTAAAGCAAAACACATAAAAAACACCTTATTAATGACAGTAAATATGTAAAGAATAGGTACAGCTCTGGGTCAGTTTAGCTAGCATATCTCATTTGTTTGGAAGGATCGTTATACCTGTAAATTATTTAATTGGAGTTGATCATGTGTGTCAGAGTTGACAGCCTGATACCCCCATGGTTGCTGATGAGTGTGTGAAAACTCCCCATGATTCAAAGTCACCCGGTGTGTGTTCTCACAGTCAAGAGCTGTGCACCCTGGGGTGACTCTTCTCTTCCAGTGACACCCCCTCCCCACGAAAAGGGGGCTATTTTTGTCCAGTACTGTAACGCCCCACTGCTGAGGCCTTGGGTACAAATTGAAACACACAGACACAGACACACAGACACACACACAGACACACACACACACACAGTTAGTTTGACAGAGCTACTATGGGACTAGGCGGACTTCACCTCGTGAACCTGGAGTAGAATCTGCTGTAAACTGACACGACACACACACACACACACGGAAACAAAACACATAAGCAAAGCGTGGTTTTTTTGGACCATGACGGATACAGCAGCCGAGGAGGACAAGGACCCTGATATTGAGCTATTTGTCAAGGTGGGGAGTCTTGGGGTGTGTGTGCTTGTGTGTGAGTGTTTGAATGTGTGTGAGTGTTTGAATGTGTGTGTGTGTGAGTTTGAGATCATCACATGCCGACAACAGATCCTTTTTCGCTTTCAAATTCTTGAAAAACTTGACTTTCATTCCCTGCCTTCTGCCTGTTAAGTAGATTCAAGCTGAATGTGCACCCTATAGGATCTTTAAAGTGTGTGTGGGGGTGGATCCATTAAGCGTGTGCATGCCATGTTGTTGTTGTTTTTGTGTGCTGATTTTCCATGTGTTAACCTGACACCCACGTGCGTAGACAATCTCTCTCTTTCTCTCTTCTCATGAATTATTCCTGGAGTCCTTTCAGTTCAGAACTGAGAGCTGAAGCTTTATAATGCTCTGAAGTTATGACCCATTATGTGTGTAGGTGTGTGTGTGTATTTAGAAATATATAATATTATTTTTCTCCGCACAGCACTTTCCTAAACATAGACATGAGTGGTATTCATTTCCTCATCTAAGTATTGGTAGATAAGTGTATTTATATATTGCTGCTGATTATTTTGAATACGTGCTACACATTAACGTAAAGCCATTAAATTAAAGCTGATTTCAAATGTCCTGAATGCATATTTAACAATGACTAATTTGCTAATGAACTTTTCGTAAAGTTTGTAATGCATCAACTGTAATGTCTGCATGGGGAGTATTGGAGTCATGTTTTAAAACACAAACAACAGCAGGATTCACACAGTGGGTAGAGTGTTTCTGTGGAGGTGTGTGTGTGTGCCTGCGGATTGATAATATCATTTCCATATCTGATAACTGCTGCTGTGTGGTACAGTAGGAACTGAGCAGGCAGTGAGGCGGTTAATGGAAGCAGTGTGGATTATTCATGCTGGACTCAGTGTCTCGTTACAGTGTCCTATTGCAGACACACACACACACACACACACACACACACACACACACACACACACACACACACACACACACACACACACACACACACTACTGTATGCGATCATATGCCAATTATACAGTATCAGCTTTTTCCTGCTTTTATTTTTGGCAGGTTTAGTATTGGAGGTTAGATTCATTCGTGATTAGGTAAAAAAAAAAAATGCTATTGCAAATAAATGTGAATACAGAGGATACAAATCTGTAAAAATAGCAACAAAACCATTTGAAAATATTTGGTATTGGTGCCTTATTCCTCCACATCAAATGCAGATAAAGTTCTTACCCTGTGCTGCTATAACTCCTGGCTTAACTCCAGGTGTGTTTCAGTTTGCGTTGGTGTCACTGATTGAATGAGCGTGTGTGTGAGAGTCCTTGGACGTGTGTGTCTGCGTTTCTGTAGCATCGTTGGCCTCTTACCTTGTCAGCATGTGTGTGTGTTTACAGGCTGGGAGCGATGGGGAGAGCATCGGAAACTGTCCCTTCTCTCAGCGCCTCTTTATGATCCTCTGGCTGAAAGGAGTAGTCTTCAATGTCACCACTGTGGACCTCAAAAGGTAAGAAACTATTGAATAAGCCTGCACAGGAGTAAAGCTCCAAAACCCAATTAAACCCACATTTTAATAGAAGGCAAAACACGCTTTCACTTTCTATGTGCTTTTTAAAAAACACCTGCAACAATCATACATTTACATCACATTACTTGCTGTTTGATTAGCCCACTAATAGATACCATTTGAACCTGTGCATTTAATTATGTCTCGCTCCAAGTGCTGCTTTGAGAAAAACATGAAGTTAATGAACAAAATCTCAAAGGGTCACTTTAAAGATTATTAGGAAATGAGGCCTGAGGTAGCAACCATTGCTAAACAAACACGGAAAGGAGGATCATTTGTTTACAGGTGGTTGTGATATTGAAATAGCGTTTCATTACAGATTTATGGAGGTTGTAAATTCCTTCCTCTCTGATTAGGAAACCGGCCGATCTCCACAACTTGGCTCCAGGGACGCACCCGCCTTTCCTCACCTTCCAGGGGGAGGTGCTCACCGACGTTAACAAAGTGGAGGAGTATCTGGAGGAGATGCTGGCTCCACCAAAGTAGGTTTCACACCCGTAAACACACGCAGGAAAAGGTGATCAACGTCCTAACTTTTTACTGTGTTTCTGTGTGTTAGGTATCCCAAACTTGCAGCAAAGAATCGGGAATCAAACGCAGCGGGAAATGATATATTCGCCAAGTTCTCTGCTTACGTCAAGAACAAAAGACCGGATAATAATCGAGGTAAGTACTCGAGACCTATTAGTACGTTTATTATTTATTTATTTAACAAATCAGACCTTTCTTCTGTCAATGCTGCAAAGTCATACCTCCACTGTATGATTCTATCCCACATTGAATACAGTTTGACAAACTGCTCGTTTGCTTTTGCCACAAACCTGAAACCCATAGAACAGCTGTTCAAGAGAGCGATCCAGGTGTTTGACAGAAAGCCACATTCATACCACCACTGTACCATCCTGGAAAAACACAATTTATTGAGTTTTGACCACTTTAAGCCTTTTAAAAGTATGTGTTTTATTTATAAATGTTTACATGGACTGCCCCCCCCTCCCTTAGGGGAATTCATCCACAGAAAACACACTGGGCGCTGCAGTAGGTCAGAAACCAGAGGAGACTGTGAAGTCCACCGTAGACCGACCACTTTTGGACAAAATGTCCTCTCATTCTGGAATAGCCTCCCAACTGAGATACGGGATTGTCCCACTCTCAATAGCTTCAAAGGTCAACTCAAAGAATGGTTTAGAAACAAACAGACAAGTAATCGTCGCGAGCTGCACTTTAACACAGGGGTATCTCCTCTTGCACTTTATGTAGCTCTTATCTTTCTTGCACTTGATGTCGTAGCTGCTATATTTTATTACCATGTCATAAATACTTGTGTATGCTGCTCTTGCACTTTTTGCATATCATGTATTTTGTTTTTACTATGTTTGTAAAATGTAATTTTCTTAAATGTTTTATGTGAGGGACTGCGGATGGAAACTAGCTCAAAGCTAATGCTGGCACTATTACGCTGGACACATTTGAATGTTTTAAGTGTTCATTACTGTGCATTGTCCCTGCCAAATAAACGATTCAATAAAATACATGTATCAAGTAAGCAGGGGCGTAATTTAGGCCAAAGGTCTGAGGAGGCAAAATGAAATAGTGATGCAATTTGACATTTTAAATGTGATGCACATTTTTGTAGCTTTGATTTGTTGACTCTTATGACCTTTTGACCTTGGTGTGTGTGTGTGTGTGTGTGTGTGTGTGTGTGTGTGTGTGTGTGTGTGTGTGTGTGTGTGTGTGTGTGTGTGTGTGTGTGTGTGTGTGTGTGTGTGTGTGTGTGTAGTGTAGTGTAGTAGTGTGTAGTAGTGGTAGTGTAGTCGTAGTGTCGTGGTGTAGTGTGTC